AAGCTCCAATATCGATAAGACGGATCTCTGGTCGTAGCGAACATCTACCTACCTATATATATATATATATATATATATATATATATATATGTATATATATATGTATATATATATACCTGTTGCATTACTGCTAAAACCGGAAGAAAAATCGTAAGTGCGGGTGCGTGCAGGTTGTGACATCTTGCTTGAAACTTAACCTGCCCCTTTTCGCGGATAATTACTTTGGACTTAGGCGGAGGGTGTGAATGTGGGTGGGGGTGGGGGTGGTTAAATTAGTACCTGTTGCTCGAGGGATTCCTCAGATCGTTGTCGAGTAAAGAAAAAGAGAAGATAGTTGTTGTGTGTGGAGGAAAGTAGATAGGTAGCTAGGTAGAGTGGGACAGAGAGTTAGTCCATCTAAAGGAAAAGAAATAAAAGAAGGAAGAAGAAGAAGAAGAAGAAGAAGAAGCAGCAGCAGCAGCAGAAGAGATAAAGAAAAGAATAGAAAAAAAACAGAGGAAAAGTGTGGAAAAGATGTGACCGAGGAGGATAAAGGAGCACGTAGCGTTGCAAGGAATAAAGAGAAGACAGACAGAGAGAGAGAGAGAGAGAAAGAGAGAGAGAGAGAGAAGCTCCTGGACGTGGAGTCTTTGCTGCCGGCAGGAGCAACGGCGCGCGAAGAAGCTCTCGGTCGGTCGTGTAGTAGCTCGAAGAGAGGTAAAAGCATAGAGAGAAACAGAGAGCGAGAGAGAGAGAGAGAGAGAGAGAGAGAAAGTGAGAGAGGGAGTGAGAGAGAAAGAGAGAGAGAGCGAGAGAGAAGGAGGAGGTGGGTGGAGGGGAAAAAGGACTGGCGCCTAGGGTGCCTCGCCTGTTCCGTAGGCGCGGTCAGATTAGGTGCCGCCTGACGGTGACGTACGTCGACGGCCACCTTGCCAGGTTAACCAATGGTAAGAGAGAATGGATAGAAGAGTGGGGAATTGCAGGACGGTGGCGCGCATGACGAACCTCCACCAACCGCTCCGGGAGCCTCGGGAACCTCGGGCGAGCTACGAGGCGAGGCAGTCAGTCGCTCTCAGCTACGACATGCATAACGCATGAGAGAGCCCGAGCGAGATCTTTCTACGACCCGTCTCTCCGCACACACGCTCTCTTTCTTTCTCTCTTCTTCTCTTTCTCTCTTTCTCTCTCTCACCACAACTGCATCTCTCTCTCTTTCTCTCTCTCATCATTCTTACCGTCTCTCTCACCCTCACACACTACTCTCTTTCCATCGTTACCACTCGTTATTACTAACTCTCTCACGCATACGATCACTCCTCGACCAACAACAACGCAAACCTTCCTTGGCGTTTGCTCTCTCACTCTTACCAATCTTTCTCCCACGACTCCCACATACGATCAACCGAGTACTACGACGATTATTCCGACTACTACTACTACGACGACGACGACGACGACGACGACTACGACTACGACTACGACTACGACGACGACAACGACGACGACGACGACGACGACGACGACGCCGACGACGACGAAGACGTGTACAACGAGAGGAGGACTACGACAGCGACTAGAATCTGGAGAGGACTACACGGGTACGGCACAGAAAGGAGTACGACACGCGCGAGAGTACGGTCGGCATCAAACGTTAGGAGAGAGTAGCGCGAGTTGGAATACGCTGTTAACGCTGTTATAACCATCATCGTCGACGTTACGAGAGGTACCGTATCCGTACCACCGTACCGCAGTTACTCTTCTCACCGTCGCGTCGTTACATCGTTCTACCCGTTCCGCAATATTCACGAGGAGTGTGTAAACGTTCGTCCATTGTTTTGTTATCGTCCGGTATAGTTCGGCAACTGTGATCATCGACAACTTACTTCTTCTTCTTCGTCGTCTTCTTTTTTTTTTCTTTTTGATGGTACATAAGTTTTTACGCGAGTTTCGAACGAAAGAAGGCATGAGTGATATCGGGTGAGATTCCCCGAGATTAAATAAACGCGAGTGGTGCTTGTCATCTTCCAAGGAAGATATAACTTGTGTGCTACGAGAGAATCCTGTGACATCTAAATAAAAAAAGAACGAAGAAAAGAAGATAAATCTGATTTATCCGAAGGAAGAAGATACTGCTTTTCCTCAAGGTGTAAAAGAGTACGCTCGGAATGATGCGGCTCGATCGGGATTTCTTACGTTTTCGCGAACGGTGGACCGGTGCGAGCGGTCGCTAATATTTAATAATAATAATAATAATAATAATAATAATAATAATAATAATAATCAACAATAATAAATAATAATAATAATCATAATCATAATCATAATAATAGTAGTAACAATAATAATAATAATCATCATAAGAATAATAATAATAAATAATAATAATAATAAAAGTAATAATAATAATAATAATAATAATAACCATCGTCATCGTTAGAAAGGATTACGTCTGGAGAACCCAAGAAATCGAATCATTTTTATTCGAACGCGGAAGAGGGTGGAGAGAGGAGAGAGAGAGAGAGAGAGAGAGAGAGGAAAGTGGAGAGTGAGAGTGATATATCAGATAGAGAGAAAAAAAATCACGGTAAAGGAAAGAGAGGTGTGCTCGCAAAAATTGGCCGGTACGGAAGGTAGGACCGACCGGCGGCGAGCGCGTTCGAAGGACCTCTCGACGAGGGGAAGTAGATGGCCGCTACCACGTACATGCCGGTTAGTAGCGCAGTGTCGGCCGAGCTGGATGGTGGTTCGGGTACAACAATCGGGATGAACATCGCCGTGGGTGGCTATTCCTCGGGCTCGCCCCGCAGCGCCGCCGACGCCGGCGAAATGAAGTATATGCCGGCGCCGCAGCATCATCATCATCACCACCATCATCACCAGGTGACGTCGTCCCCGTCGCCAAACGGACTTTCGCATCCGGCGGCGAGCCTCTCCTCGGCTAATCCATGGGTTAGCTTGCAACCCGGTAGCGATCCTTGGGCGGCCTCGATGGGGATGCATCACACGAGTCATCATCCTCACCATCATCCCCATCAGGCTAATACGAGCCTAGATGTGAAACCTTTGACGGCTGCCGCCGCGGCGGTGAACGCCGATCAGGGCATGCATCATCGCGGCCCTCATCAATCCCCTGGAATGGCGTCGCCGCATTCCTGGCACGCGCCCGTCGTACCCTCGGCTCATTACAATCCGAGCGGCGGCGCGGCATCCCCGACTACCCTCCAACAATACCATGCGGCTATGAACGGCATGCTACACCAACACTCTCACCAGCATCCCCATCAGCTGCACAATCACCAGGCCGGCCTTCCTCATCATCTCAGGGACGCCCACAATCACAGTCCGCCGACGGGTCATCCTCTTCACCCGGGACATCCCCTTGATAGGGATCACAGTGCCGGCGAGGAGGACACGCCGACGTCCGACGATCTCGAGGCGTTCGCGAAACAATTCAAACAGAGACGCATCAAGCTAGGTTTTACCCAAGCCGACGTTGGCCTCGCGCTCGGTACCCTTTACGGCAACGTATTCTCGCAAACGACGATATGCAGGTTCGAGGCGTTGCAGCTAAGCTTCAAGAACATGTGCAAGTTGAAACCTCTTTTACAAAAATGGCTCGAGGAGGCGGACTCGACGACGGGCTCGCCTACGAGCATCGACAAGATCGCGGCGCAAGGTAGAAAACGAAAGAAGAGAACGTCGATTGAGGTCTCCGTTAAGGGTGCTTTGGAGCAACACTTCCACAAACAACCTAAACCATCGGCCCAAGAAATAACGACGCTTGCCGACAGTCTACAGCTCGAAAAGGAAGTCGTAAGGGTATGGTTCTGTAACCGACGGCAAAAGGAAAAGAGGATGACGCCGCCTAACACGCTCGGCGACGGCATCATGGAAGGCATGCCGCCGGGTCATCAGGGACAGGGTGGCCTCCATCAGGGCTATCACCCGCAGGATCACCTACACGGCTCGCCCATGGGCCATAGCCACAGTCCCCCGATGCTAAGTCCTCAAGGTCTTACGGCCCACTCGTTGGCGGCTCACTAGCGTTCGCCGGGGCCTCCCCCGTTGGGCCTCGCATTAACCTCTCAAAACGCGCCGAATTCCTCCGCGTCCTCGTCCGCGCCACCACCGCCCCCGCCTCCAACGGCGGAGAGTCTACCGCACTTTTATCAACACTATCTGCAAACCCGTACGGGTTATGCCGGTAGCTCGTAGCTCTAGGCGGACCATCTATGCTTCTCAAATCCCGCGACGAGGAAAGAAAAAAGATGAATAACAATGATTGCAAATTTAAATAACATCAACAACAACAACAACAACATCAACAATAATAATAATAATAATTATAACAACACGCAAAAATCAAGGAGGAAATATGGTACGAGAACTAATTAAACGGGATTATATATATATATATATATATATAAATATATATATATATACACACACATATATATATACATACACACACAACCAATCTACGCGGATGGATTATTTCATTCGACGACGAGGTTCAACGGGGCCTAACGAGGCCGGCACTTGGGGGCCCGTACACACCGGGGAGGCTGACGAGAGCTCCGATGATGCTCCGATGTTCGATGCTGCTCTGCTGTTGCTGCTGTCGCTCTTGATAAAACTCCTTTAATAATTTCGTTCTCTCTCTTTATCTCTCTTTCTCTCTCTCTCTCTCTCTCTCTATCTATCTATCTCTCCCCCTCTCCCTCTTTCTCTTATTCTCTCACACTTGCTCTCTCTTTTTCGCTCTCTATTACAATAGAGATGGACTCAAAGATTGATGAAAAGAGAGGGAGAGGGAATTAAATATAAAGGACGAATTTGGCGACATAAATCGTCGTGCTAAACCGTCGCAGAGAACACAAAAATCGTGACGAGAAAATCGACGGTCTGTCAAAACACATGGGACTTGGAAACGTCGCTCGTTCATCCCTTGTTCGACGAGTGTCGTTTTTGTGTTTACTATTTCTCTCTTACTCCTTTTTCTGTCTCTCTCTCTCTCTCTCTCTCTCTCTCTATCTCTCTCTCTCTGTATCGCTCTTTCTATCTTTCTTTCTCTTTATCTTCATATACTTATCAGTGCGCGTATCGAAGAAGGACAATATTGAAGAATGAGAACTGGATTGGAAAAATGTTTTGGGTTAATTATGAGAAAGAGAGATAGAGAATGTCTGAAGGACAGAGCACGACGAATGAGAACAGAGAGAAAAAAGAAAAGCAGACATAAAGAGAGACGAGAGAGACAACACCAGAGAAAGAGAGAGAGAGAGAGGGGGGGAGGGAGACCAGAGAAAGAGAGAGCGTGAGAGAAAGAGAGAAAGAGAGAGAGAGAGAAAGAGAGAGGGAAGAAAGAAAAAAGAAAGAGACGAAACGCAACGAACGTACGTAGGATAGTGCTGTGTTCGCTTTGGGATTTTGCGCCGCGAGTCCCGGCGAATGATGTAACATAAGTAAATATGGACTGTAAATAATGTACTAGATAAAAAGAGCTAGTAAGTTAAGTGAAAACATGAAAGCCGTTTGGCTTCATCGTCATCGTCGACGTCGTCGACGTCGTCGCCGCCGTCGCTGCTGCCGCCGCTGCCGCCGCCGTCGTCGCCGTCGCTGCCGTCGCCGTCGTCCACGTTGACACCGTCGCCTGCATCTCTTCTTCGTCGTCATTGTCATCAAAAGCTGCTGTTGTCGTTGCCGTTGCCGCCGACGCTGACGCCGATGCCGATGCCGACGCCATCATTATCATCTATGCCGCCGCTGTCGTCGCT